AAACTGCAGACAAGTCGTAAAGCCTGCTGAGATGTAATGATCTCAGCATCATAAATCATCGTCGGAGTGCTTGTGTCACAGCACGCTTGCTCTCAAAGTGACGTGTTTAAGAGTGTCTGTTTATTTTGTCTCTATAAATATGTGGGAGAAGCAGACAACGGTAGACAGAGCAAGACAGAGTGTGTATGTGTGTGTGTGTCAGTCTTAATTGCCTACCACATCATCCCACAGTTAGGGTTGAGGAGATTCTCCATCTTGCTTCAATTAACCGTTCAGCAGTGTTTATATTGGGTTCCACCAACATAGCTTACCTTTCCCAACACAGACCAACAGCTGTGTTTCCCTGTCTGACCCTAAAACCCCACTCTACCTCAGCCATTCAAATCTTTACCCTTTGGATCGGTACTCTGCAGAAAAATACTTAATCAGCACCTCATTATTACGGCCACACCCCAGCCCAGAATAGAAGCAAACTGGCTCCATAACAAGGCTCGGTCAGGGTCCAGAAATGTTACACCTACAAGTGTTTCTCACTTTGTAGTTCTTGGCAATACTGTCTGTAGGTCATGGAGAGGTTAGCATGTATGGGAAGATAAGGGCCATGGACACTGGATAGGGTGGCTCAGTAAATCACAGTTGCCTGTTATTGTTCCTTCCTGCCTTGCTTCCCTTCTTCCCTCCTTTTTATTTATGGTTTTTTTTTTGTGGTCCAGCTTCATCCATGCCATGCAGGAGGAATCATTCATAGACTCATGCAGTGTAAGTGTTCAGGATCCTGCTTCTAGTCTCCTCTGTCCCCCTTCTTTCACTCTCCCTGGAATTGTTAAACAACAGGACTCATATCACAGCAAATTGAGGAAGCTACCAATAAACGGAGATGTGAATTTGACCGGAGAAAAAGAATGAGGGGACGGCTGTATGTATTAATGCCAAAGAAAGAGTCATCTGGAGATGTTTAAGTTGGACAGGCCAGTTTCCGGTGTCTGGAGCAGGCCAAAAATATCCAGAAACAGAAAAATCCGGCAGAAGGGAAAAGGATACACCTCCTCGTTTCTCATGTGACCCTCTACATTTAGCAAACTAAGCTGAATTTTGGGGTTGCAGCATACACCGTGCTTGCAAGAAAGCTTTTCAAGCCAAGCTTATAAAATGTAATTGCATCTTGATATTGCTAAATTTTTGGGAAGAGAGCATTTCAATGAATCACATATGGCGCAACTGCGTTTCACTCAAAAAAAAAGAATGACACCGAGTACACAAATTTTACAGAAGCATTTGACAACAAATAGCCAAGTATCCTTGAGAGACAGGACAAAGGTGTGCCCCATATGCATACCTGCTTTGCATGGGTCCTCACACTGTTTTCATAACACGGGGACTGCTTCTTGTTGTAAAAGGCAGAATAGCTGAATCATTCAAACTTTTTATAAGCACCCTCCACTGCACATCTTAGCATCTATTTATGGATCCACAAACCAGAGTGATTTTGTTATGTTAACAGCTTGCGGTTTTAACGGCTGCTGTTCCAGCCGTGCAAGGTGAACACAAGTGCCCAATTTAGGTCATACAAAAAAAAAAGAGAGAGTCAGTGCAACGGCTGCAGTGGACTGAAGGGCCAGGATTCATTCAAGCAAGCCAAACCTGTGAGCAAGATTTGTGTTTGAAAGCGCAGACAGGAAGCTACAAGCTGTAGGGAGAGGCAGAGAGAGGGAGCGCAAACCAAGGGTCTAGACAGAAACCTCTGCTTGTTTGCTTTTTAGCAGGGTTTAACCAACATTTGAAGGTTTGTGCTGCTCTGTCACAATACACTTGTTACATGCTGATTTAAAAGTGATCACTCATATTAGATGGTCTCAACTTTTCCTGCCCCTACACAGCGGATTTCTTAAAGTAGGCAGACTTTACGTTGTTATGTATCAGTGCCGTCCTGCAGACACAGATGTTTGGGTGCACACACTCACACACACACATCAGGAAAGAGAGAGAAAGAGAGGTCTGCAGTTTCTCATGGCTGCGAGCTGCCGCTGCAGAAAATTCCCCCTCATCTCCTCCTCTCCCCGCCCCCACATCTTGCCTCCATTATTCCCGTGTTTTCGAAGCAACTCCGGTGACAGCGAGAAGCAAAGCTGGCGAAGTGAAGGCAGACTGGAGCACAGTCAGCCGCTTCTTCCGGCCGTCCCCCTCGGTTGCCGACCGATGGTACGGTCTCCCGCGTTCCGCACGTTCACACGCCGTTTGTGCACGGTGCCGGTAGGGAAAGGTGTGGGGAGGGGGTGGGCGGGGGTTGGTCGACCGGGACTAGCACCGTGGAGCTGAGTGCTTTCCACAAGGAGGGATGAGAGAGAAGCCTCGCTTGAAAAACGCTCCACGGTCGCCGTTAATTAGCGCCTATTTATTTTTTGCTTGAACGGCGAAGACGCGAGAAGACGGGATTATACGGCCAGCTCGCAACTAACGTTAACTAATGGTCATAAACATGGATGCTGATGTGCCTCATCCTCTAGGCCGGACAGAAAAGCGGGTGTTTTTTGAGGATTTTCTGGCTGCAACACGACTCATTTCTTTCTGGGATTAATTTTTTATTATTATTATTATTATTATTGTTTTTTCTCTCCATCTTGGAGCCGGCTTCTGTGAGTGGCAGTGAGCATTTATTTGCAAGGTACCAACTAATGATAACCTTACTGCGGTCGCTTATACTGACCAAGCATCACTGTCAATGATGTGATGTGTGTGTGTGTGTGTGTGTGTGTGTGTGTGTGTGTGTGTGCGTGCGTGTGTGTGTGTGTGTAATTGTGCTGTCAGCCCCGGCGAAGAAATAATGAAACACTGTGAACATGGCTGCTTCAGACAGCACTGTAGTGGTATATGCCTCACTTTCATCTCTGGTCTTTAAATATCAGCGTTTCTTGGTGGTGAGTCAGGCTTGAGGATGCATGTTAACCAATTGAGACCTGACCACTAATGGGGTCAGAAATGTTGCTTTGTTAAATGCATCATGAATCACACAACAGGATAAGGTGATGCAGCCAGTAGCACATGTGCCTTTGGCCACTGTTTCTCTCAGCTGCATTGTAAAGAAGAAACCTTTTGTAACAATGTATATTATTTGGCTCATGGTGCAGCTAGATTGTGTTATATTGAAAATTCCTCATTTTCTACTTTTGTCAGCCTTCTTTACTGATAACAACCTTGTAATAGAGACTTATTACATTTATTTTCATGCAGTTTTGCAGCCAAAACCCATCTATTGGTGCCAGATTGGGCTGCTTAGTTTTTGTTCCTCAGGGCAGTGATTTGTTACCTTGACATTAAGACTTGCACCATTCCCATGTGCCTCAAGCTGAGTCCCAGTGACAGCGTACATGCCACATTACAGTTTGAAGTGTTCTGCAGACAGGATACTTTAAATGTTTGATTATTATACTCTAGTTTTCTGCTGAGTAATTGTGCAAAAATATGTGGATTAATGCGATGTTATGCCTTTACAGCAACCTTAGTTGCGCTTGACATCTCTGAGTTGTTGTACAGCTCACATCTGGTTGCATCTGCACCACTAAACCTACCACTAAGCAGCTATGGTAATAATTAAAATCACTGTGTACAGTATAAACACATAGTGTTTTCAGAGACATAATGTAACTCCAGGACAGGAGGATGGGGGATAAAAACAAAGGGCAAGGATGGAAAATGTAAGGGTTTGTGTGTCACTTGACTGTGTGCACAGGTGCACCCAATCTAAACCCTCAAACCACAGGAGATCAGTGGCGAGGGGGAGGGTAAGCTGAACCCTGCAAAGACACTAGAAGCCACACACGCCCACCAGTAATAATTTGGGGAAGTTCACACTGGGATGAGTGCTGCGGTACTTCTTTCCCTCACTTTTTCTGGTATCATCGTCTCTTTGCTAAAGTCTCACCCCGATGCAAGCTGGCACAAATGGTGAGAAAGTAGGCTAACTTTGTTAAGGAGACACCCTTACCAAATTACAATGGCCTCAGGAGGCCAATATGATCCTCTTGATAGAGTTACAAACCAGTTATACTTGTGTTCAGATTAATAGCATCTGTTTTTTGAGAGGGGTTTTGGACAATGGTGATGTTTCCCCCGTCTCTTTATCCCCCCCCCCAAATACACACCATCCTCCAACCTCTCTAGTCCCCATCTCCCTGATTTGAGGGAAGCGTGGGTGGAGCCAAAGGGTGTTTGTGTTCCTCAGGGTCCCTGCTTCCTGTGAAATCGTGGAGGATCTCCACATGTGCTAAAAAACATACGTACACCCAAAAATGCAGAACACTTCAGACCCAGCCTCTTCACATGGCTTTAAATGTCCGGCAGTGTTTATGCAGTGAATGTTAGAGGCCTGGTCCTGGATTTGTTTGTATTTGAGTAGCAAATGTTAGGGCAGGTTTGCAGATTCGGCTTGGCTTTGTCTGCCGTGTAAAATATTTGGTCTAACACGTGTTTTCCCACAGTTGACTGTTTCATCATTGCACCTGCTTCACTGTTTGCGCCTGACCTTGGCAGACGGATATTATTCATTCTTTTGGAGCTCTATTCAGCAAACCTGGTATCAGCAAAACAGACAAACACTCCAGTGAATGCTGTCAGCAGGCAGCTTCCCTCACTTTGGTCACTAGTCCTCTGATGGATAGTGGATTTCCTGCTCAAGGAGGAATGTTAAAAATGTCCGTGAGGAACAGAGCAAGGCCCATTGTGTGTATTTAGCTCAGCTAACCTTGTTATGGCTCGAGCTAACACACATACAAACTCCAAGCCTGTCATGCAGGATATTGCTCACATACTGTACTTATTGATGAGAGGCACAATGATGTTTTTCAATTTGAGCAAAATATATGAGTCATTTGGAAATGTACCAAATTTTTGTTGCATGAGTTGTAACAACGTAGTTCTGTAGAATAGTGGGATACAGGTGTATGTTTGGATGAAGTGTTATAAACAAGTATATTAAGAAACATACATTTTTTTCTATTTCTCAGATGACAGAGGGCCGGCGATGTCAGGTCCATCTGCTGGACGACAGGAAGCTGGAGCTCCTCGTTCAGGTGAGTGTGTCTTCCTCCTGACCTCTAGCTCTTTCTTTCCTTTCTCCCCTCTCACTTTACAGACTATCAGTTCCTTACAGCTAGGGAGAAGTGATGTCTGCGGTCCCAAGTGACTTCCATTATTGCTGACGAAGGGAAATTTGGTCAGGAGTAGGTGACGCTGCGCTTTCTTGATGCTTTCCCTGATCTCTCTCATACACATGCATAAAAGCACACATAGGTTGCGCTCGCAGCGCTGATTTGCAGTGCCTGTTTAAACTCTGAATCCTGACATACAGTTCCACTCGATCGAGTCCTGAATGGAAACCTTTGCTTCAATTACCCTGGCTCTGCTTTTAGCCTTTAGTTCTCCCAGCAAGCCTCTGTAGTAATGAATAAAAACAGCACTATCCCAAAAAAAACTGCCTCTCTTTCATTTACGTTTTTACCATTACCCTTTTTTAGCTTTCAGCTGCAACTCTCCTCTGGTCTGCTTTCTTTTCTATACCAAAGGTCTTCATTGATTGCTAATGATATTGACTTTTGCCATTCTTTTTATTTTCTTTTGGCTTGGCTAGATACACTGAAATGGATTCATTAGGAGCTCCTTACACTCTTCCTAACCTCCCGTAGTTCCCTTTGGTCTGACCATTACTCGATTCCTCTGAAACAGAGAAAGACAAAAGAAAGTAATTGCCCTGGAACAGGAGAAGAACAGCAGGCAGAGAATAGAACGATTGACGCAGAAGCTCGGGAGGTTGAGAGGGAGAGAGAAAAATGAGATGAGGGCTAAGGAATGAAAAGGAGATGACACTAAAGGGAGAGAGAGGAGAAAATGGAGAGGAGAGCCAAGGATAGGTCTGCTGACTTTCTGATTTGATTACTCTGCCAGAACTGATCCTCCCTTTCAAATTGGTACTTCTTTTTCTGCTCCTCTTCCTTAGTCACTCTGTCTGTCTCTCCACTCTTGGCTCCCCATGTCTTCTTTTCTCATTCAACAGCTGGCTAGCTTTTTACCTGTCTTTCCATTGCTTTATCTCAATTTACAAATACAAATGTTTCAGCTCTATCTTGCATCCATCCACCCTCTCTATTGCTCTTCTCGTTTCTTTCAGTACATAAAAATAAAATAAAAAGACAACTTGGGGCTTTAACATAAATATTTCTTAATGTAGTGCTTATGTGAAGAGTTTTGTTGGTATATTCGGATAAGGAGTGAGCGATAAAAATTGGCTGTGCTAACCGCGTTTGTGAGAAGAAACAAGACTGACAAAAAGGTCAGAAAAGTGGATGTCATTAACAAACCTTTGTCACATAAATCAGGAAACTGCTGGCTTTCTTTCTCTCTCAGTCCCTGTCCTTGCCTCCATCCGTTAGGCGGATGTTCTGCAGGTCATTGAGTTGTTAGTGGGACCACAGAGAATCACAGTGTTATTCTTAAGTTTTCCACTGAACTAAAAAGCAGTCCAGTCCTCCGCTTGTTTGCAAAAAAAAAAAAAAAAAAAAGATTTGGATGTTCACATTTCAAAAACCGTCTAAACCAGGGTGTTTATTTATAATTTGTGTTTATTTATAAGTCTCCCCCGATCGTAAAACAGCGCCATTGTCAGGTCTGTCCCATTGAGGCTTTCATGAAACTTGTTGTAAGCATGCCAGGTACACAAGCCAGTTACCATCTGAAGAAAGGCTCCTACTCCTGTCAGTGAGTTGTAACATTGACCAGCTGTTTAATCCCAGAAGAGTCATTTAGCCTTGTCTACTTCCTCCAGTCTGATAGCGTGCCCTTTGTGGTTTGCTTGTGGAGCAATGCCTCATTGGCAGGGAGCAATGTACCAGAGGGACAGCGCGCTTATTAACCAGGTTGTAAAGATGTAAAGCTAACTACCAAACACACCTCTCGGTGAAAATGTATATCAGTACAGAAGCTATTACTTACGTAGGCTAGACTGTTGCGAGGCTAAAGGGTAAATAAGGTTCAGTTGTGTAACAGTGTTGCTTTTCTACATCACTGAGTCCTTTTACATAATATGAAGGGGAAGTTCAGTAAACTGTAAGTCCGTATGCAAAGCAAAAAATATAAGAAGAGGTTATTGTGCAGGGAAAAATCACAATAATGCAGCATGTGTCTCCAAAAAGCCTTAACCTTAGACAGCCTTAGAGGGGATAGGCTGCAACTAATAAATCAGTTGGCAACTCATAAATCTGAGCAACTCTGAAGACAGCAAAGACCTTACTGGGTGTTTGCAGAGATCGGGCCATGACTTGCTTCCAGCCAGCCAAGTGTGCAACTGTGTTTTTGTCACTTGTCTTTATTGTGTCTGCTACTCGCTTACACCTCCCTGTAATTCTTATGCTGTTAATTACCTGTGCTGCTGAGGAGGCACAGGCTAAATATCTATTAGCAGTAATGCTGTCTAAGCTCTCAGAGAACTGTACAGTCTGATAGATGGCTCCATAGTGTATGTGTATTTAATGTGTGTCTGCATGGTCTGTATATGTCTAGGGTGTGTTTAGTGTACCGTATCACTTACAATACTGCCTGTCTTTCTCTGTCTACATCACATTATTACACATCTGGTATCTGTAATCCCAGAAATAAGCTGCCACGCATGCTTGTGGAAATGGTGGGTTAGAGAAATGCTTCCTGTGTTGTTCTTAATCTTCAGTAATACACTCCTGATTTTTAACAGCATATCTGGGGTTTATTTTAGCGCCCCATCATCTGCCCAACAACGTGCCAATATGTCCCTGTTACCCGCTCACTGCTTGCTACACCATGGTGGGATGGATGTTGTTTAATTGATATTGTTGCCACAGCAGTTTGGCTGCTCTGTGGTAATGAAAGACCATCGCAGCATGTTCCCCAGACTGAACCAAAACAGGTATTACTGCTAATGCCATAAAGATACCCTCTCTTCAAAGGGTAAGATTTCCACATACAAAATGTGTTGAGGGCTTCAAAGACTTCTGGTGTAGATCATCTAAGTTTCTGCTCTCCCATTTGGAAGAAATGACAGGGCCAATCAGACCTGTTTTGGATGGAAGTACCAATTTCAGTTGAGTCACACAGATCAGGACCAAAACACAGAGAAAATCATCACTCTAACCTCTGCTTCTCTGCTTGTGCAATGTAAACATACAGCTGCAGAACAAAAAATATTCAGAAACATTCACGATTTTATCTTTGCTAAATTTACAATTATTCTCTCTTTAAATATGTATTTGGAAATTTTACTCTTAACGAGACATTTAAATAGAAAAACAACATGGTTTTTGTGCTCTAGCACATTAACCATGTTGTTTTTCTGTTTACATCTTTGAATATAGGGTCGAATCAACTTATGCGGTAACTTCACCGTCAGCTCTCTCTTTCAATTCTGATCTCTCCTGAGCCTTTATGTGTAGCAGGATCACTGTAGGCATCGTGATTATATGGGATCTAGGTCAGTGAAGATGTGGTAGTGTGTGTGTGTGTGTCTGCATGACATCACCTCCTTTCCTTTAAATAGCTCTTAGTAGCTTATGACACTGAAGTTGTAGCTATGCAGTGAGTAGATACTATAGGACATTAGGAAGAGGCTGTTAAGAGTGTGGATACTATGGCACTACAATGTCGCTGTTGTGTGTAGAAAAATGGTTTCAGACAATATGTATTCCTCATGCCCTCCTCTCCTAAACAGTACAAACTCATGTGTTCCTTCTGTATGCTGGGAGTGGCCTGTTTAACACGGTCTTGTGGCTGCATGCAGATGAGTGTGTATGCATGTGTGTTTGTGCGCGTAAATGTAGGCAGCGAGGCACACCCATGGTTAACCTCAGTTACTGGTGCACTTTTATTCAGGATGTAACAAACCAGCAGCATATGGCAGCATTCCCTGGACTCTTGCTTTGCTTTAAGGTGATCTGCATGCTATATAGCTCTTGTGCTAGCATCTCTCTGCAATACAGTGGTTCAGCCCATAGCCGTGACTCTGCAGTGGAGGTGTGGGTCAGGAAGGAGAGGGGAGGGGAAGGGTACCTGCACTGTCAGCAACATCCACGCACTCCATCCATCTTTCTATTGCTCTCTCACTCTCATTTATCTCCTCCACTCTGGCCCTTTCCCTCTCCTCCCTGGTGTTTGTCAAAATGCTTAGTCATTGCGGTAACTCAACAGCCGATATAATACATTAGCATAAAGTTTTACTACATCTACTTTTCCAATTAAACTACAGTGTGGCAAACCACTTCACACACACACAAGACAGCTGATTAAAACAACCATAGCCTAATTCAAACTCATATATCTTCCTTCCTGCAGCCCAAGCTGATGGCTAAGGACCTGCTGGACCTTGTGGCCTCTCACTTCAACCTAAAGGAGAAGGAGTACTTTGGAATTGCATACACAGATGAAACGTAAGTTATAATAAAATATTATGTCACTCAGTCTTTAATTTAACTTGCTTGTTTGGATTTTTTTCAGTGCTGTAACATGAGATCACTGTAAATGACAACAGCATCAGATCTGTTACGCAGTTGGTAGCAGTAAAGTTATTAAAGCAACATGTGGGTCAGCAGTAGTGTAATCATAGGCAAATTTAGTATCAAAGTTCAGGTGCAGTTTGTTGTGCACATAGGCAAAGCAACAAGGATATCAGAGGGGAATGCACGTGAACATGGCTTCTGATTTCATGAGTGGCTGAAGCCAGTGTCATGGACACTGATGTCGTGGACAGTGTGTTTGTAGATGCCAATGACAAAGATAGAAAGCCTTAAATAAATGCTATAGAGTTAGTGTCAAGGATAATGAGTAGTAGCAGGTATGGTTTCTAATTACATTTGATTGCGTTCAGTTTTGAGGTATAATTTAAAATCTTTTTCCACATGGCTACTGTTCCACAGTAGTAGTAGTTCCACTGTTTATATTTTACTCTGTGTGCCCACTAATTGGACTTTGTAGCACTAGTGAACAAAACTGATAATGGTGGACTAAATATAAAATATATAATCCTAGATTAACTTAGGTTGTAGCACAGTGTACAAAAGCACCACTTTAATAATGTGGCATTTGGTTTTGGTTTGGTTTTCTCTTGAGGAATTCCCAGAGCACTTTTCCTGTTAAGGCTTAATTAACTATGAAATTGAAAAGAAAAATCAAATTTAGCTTACATGTCTAATTTGTCTTTTTCTTGTTGTTCAGTGATTTAAAAAACAAACAAAAAAACCCAAACAGATTTGTTTTGTCACCAACTGCCTTTATCATCGTCGGTAAAGCAAAGAATGAAGATCTGTGAAGTTCACATTTAAACGTGAAGTGAAGTGATGTGGGTGGGTTATCTTTCTCTGGACTAGCAAAGATCACAAGTCTGTGTTTGCCAGTAGGCTTGCCATGAGAGCTGTGCTTGAAATGCAAACGTGACATTCAAATTAGCTTTGTTGGGTTTTCTGACCTAGAAAGGCAGAAACGCCACAGCACGATAGTGATGCCAGCGATTTACATGCAGGCAAACATCGCCATGGCCGTTTTGCCTTTCTGTTTTTGTTTTATCTCATGCATCCACTGATGTCAAGCAAGACTGGCCTCTGCTCTTTGGTATTTACATGGTAGCGACTACTGCCAGTGTCTGTCCAGCGAAGCATTGTCCACTATAGAGTCTTTATTCTATGATGTGTAGATTTGTTGCTTTTGCCTGGGGAGAGGAGACGCCTGAGCTCTGACCGCTCACTGGTCAAAGAGGCTGCGTGTTGGGGACAGGAGGCCAAGAGATTGAGAGACAAGAAACAGAAGAAGGGAGAGTTTGAGAGAGATGTTGCTCAGTTGCTCAGGAGACCATGCAGGGTAACCAGGGTGACAAGCTGTCTGTGCAGTTATTCTCTCTGTTGGAAACAAAGAGAGAGAAACGAGAGGGGAGGGAAGAGAAGAGGAGGGGGACAGAGGCAAGCAAAGTGTGACAAAAAAGATAAATGGGATGGCTTAAGTGGAAAGTGTTCTGTTTCATGAGATGAACCTTTGTGTACCCTAGTTTGATATTAAGACATCTCTGAATTATAGTGTTGATTGTATGGTTGTTCTTCTCCATCAGGGGCCATTTTAGTTGGCTGCAGCTGGACCGCAGGGTATTAGAACATGAATTCCCCAAGAAGTCTGGTCCCATTGTCCTCTACTTCTGTGTCAGGTGAGTCTTTCTTCTGCAAGTTAGTGCCCTCACACCAATCATTGTCTGATTGCAGATGTATGTGGGAACGAAAGAAAAAAGTCTGTACGTTCTTGAGTATACTCACACATTCATGCGATGATAGGAAGAGATTAATACGATTAGTTATGAAAAGCCCCTGTGAAATTGTTCTGATCACAGTGTTTACCTCCCACCACAGGGCCTCTCAGCCAATGGCAAGCCTCTCATACTTCATCAGAATGCACTGCATGCAGATAGCATCGGATTCATGGCGACTGTACTCTAAACAAAATACCAGAAACCTTTTTCCTATAAGGGTAGGGTTTGGGGGGGGGGTGGAGAAATCAGCACTGTGCATCTTTATGTTGAAGCTGTTTGAGAAAAAACACTCGCAAACTCATTCATAAAAGGTCCTTTTTCAATGGAACGCTGAACAGCACAGTCATTATCCTTGTTTTGTATAAGCCCACCATGACTTTCTTGCTGTTGCTTAACTGTAGTCATCTCTTTGGTTAAAAACAAAATGCTTCTTTTGACCAACTGTGACAGGATTATAAAATTGCACCACAATTCACTCGTTTTCTTTCCACCAACCCTCCTGTAGGACAGAAGAAATGCAATACACACACAGGCATGACCAAAATTCAGCATATAGCTGTTTATGATTGCATTTAGTGGTGTTATATATTTTATAGGCTTGTAAAAGAAAAACAATCCACGTGACAGGAAAAAACACACATTCCTATGCACATACAGGTTCCTCTGGAATAAAATTGGAAAAATACGAAGGCTTTATTTTGAATTGTCCTGTTGGGTTTTTTTGCTCCGCTCAGGTTTGTGCACGAGCTGCGTCAGCATTTAGGTTTGTGGTACAGGTCAGAGTTACATCGATATAATTGCTAGGACCGTATAATTCTCCAGCACAACATTGCTATAAAACGTTTAATAGTGTAAAGCGAAGTGATGCGCATGGACAAAATGTCAGTGAGTCATTTTCATGGTGGCATTTATATCGTGGCTCAAGTCATGAGACACGATATAAATGAGCTGTTTAGAGAAAGCATATTCTTATGCGCGTTGGCTGTATCCTGCTTAGTGGCTTCTTTGCACAATGCCACAGCAATACACTCAGGATATCTTAATTATGTTGACACCTGCGTTAACTAACGGTCCTGTCATTCCCAGGAGCTGTAGTGGTAGTGTTGGTGGTTAGCTGTGTGGGGTGCAGGGCCACTGTGTGTGTATTTACACAGACTAATGGGTGTTTGAGGATGTGATGGTAGTGCGATGACACTGTGAACTCTGACACCTCATTGAGGCTTCATCCCCCTTCTTCATCATCACAGTTCCGTCTAATCTCTAACCTTAATCTCTTTAAATGTCACAGTACTGAATACACCCGCTCTCAACACATCCTTACACATGTGCACACATTCAGATCCAGACTGTGGACTGCAGTGGAACAACAATCAGCCCAAATGCCAGGCCTGAATCTGTTATCAGTCTGAGCATATTGTTTTTAATAAGCACAATATAAGATTTGTTTATGCACGGGGGTGTGTTTGTCTAATATGAAGTATGTTGTGTGTTTATGTGTGGGTGCGTGTTTCTCTCTGTATGTCACGTTTCTGCATTCTCATGAGGTATTTGTGTGATGCGTGCGTTCCCAATGAGTGCTAGGCAGATGCCCACCTCCTGCTGATTCAGTGGGTGCTTTTTTTGCATGCTTGCTGCTGTGCTGGCAGTGTGGGTATGTCTCATCAACCGTGCTGCTTTAATTAAATGTTCACACTGAATATTGACAAGCACCTCTCATTCTCTCTTGCAGCTCAATGGGTAACGCGAATTAAGCCCCCCCCCCACACCCCCGATTATTGATCTGCCTGCAATCCCTCTCACTCGATGCCTATACAGACCCATATGCACTGAAATCAACACGCGCATTTCCGATTTATATTCATAAGGACATGTTTGCTGATCGCATTGTTCACAGAGATATATCAAGTCAAGTGAACTCTTTTAGGCACAGCAGATGGGGGATTTAAGCTATTTATCCGCTAATCGCACCAATTCCCAGTTTGACTCCCAGCTCATTCACATCTGTGTACGACAAGCTTTGCCGCCACTGATGTACCAGTGGGTGAATGAAGTGGTTTGGTTTGTAAAACTTAGCTTAGGTTAAAAGACACGATTAACAGCAAACGATTTACCATCTCTGAAGAAGATGTCAGGTGACACTTTAGAGCAGCTGAGCTATATGGAATCTTTTTGATGTGTGTTTTCACCAGAGAGGAGATAACAACGAGTAGCTTCCTGGTGCACCATTCCAGCTTCCCTCTGGCTTTGCATGCATTCATGAGCTAAATTTAAACTGCATTATTGTGTTAGTTCCCTGCTCACCGCTCTGCCAGAAGTGGGTTACTGTGTTTCTCTCTCCAGAAAGTGACAGCATCTCTGTGTGTGGTACTACTCTGTGTTTGTGTGCGAGCGCGTGTGATCACTGCACACTGCTGATGATGCACAGCGAAGTGCATCATGTGCACATTCAATCTGCGTGTGTGTGCGTGCATATTCACATTGAGGAATGTGCACACACTCACAAACTGATAATGAATCACTGCCAGCCACTGTGGCGATGTGGTGTAAGGGGAAGGGAAAGGATTTTGGCATAAGTGATCAGCCTTTGGTATGGTGCGCCCCCATCTGGTCACTTTCACCACTGCAACCTTTCAGTCACATCTGCACAGTTTACTTTTCATAGCTTTCCTGGATGCTAGCTTTTTTGAAGCAAACACAAGAAAACACTCCTTCATGTATCTTCTTTCTGTTGACTGAAGGTCAATGAACACCCTTGCTTACTTTGAAGCTGCAGGAGTGTTTATATTTTCTTCTGTGTTTTCAGGTTCTACATAGAGAGTATATCCTACCTGAAGGATAACGCCACCATTGAACTGTTCTTTCTTAATGCAAAGTCCATCATATACAAGGTAAATAGCTAGTTTTTTTATGCATTTCAAGTACTGCTGGTTTCATCTCCTTCTCCTTTGGTTTAATTTACATGCTATATGAATGATATAAATCCTCTGTGAAATTGCATTTAAAGCCAAGATTTTCTTCTGGCCTTAAATCATTTTTGGCTTTCAGTGGTTACGTTTTATGGTGAAATTGCATAGAGTGCTGGGCTTCATGTTGCGTGCCACTTCCTTAGCCCATTTTTCTTTCTAAATGAAGAGATGCCACAAGAGGAAAGCTTGGACCTCGGTCCTGCGCGCTGATTTGCTGAAGCAGAAAATGTGAACCATGTGCATCATCTGTTACCCGTCATGTCATGCGCTGCTCCACATTTCAGCAACTAGCAAATGATTTTCATTGCCATCTGTCAGCGCTAAGCCACAATTACTTTGGCTGTTTAAATAGCAATTTAAATTATGCATTGGAATACATACTTCCAGAAAGTTGCCTAAAGAAACAATTTAAAGGAGGAAAGCTTTTGAAATGATTTTACCACTCAGATAATATGGTACATTTCTTTAGAATAAGGAGAGGCTATCCACTTCACTTAACTGGTTAAAATTCAAGCAGGGGCATCTAGTTATAGTTTGGTCAGCATACAGCACATTTATAGACACCAGTATCAAACAGTTATGTAATTTTTCCAGAAGAGGGCGTGTGCAGCCTGAAACTGTAAATAACTGAGCTGAAATGTTCTAGTAAAGCCTTGTAGAAAACTGTGAGAGTGTCTAAAGACTTATTTTCTTTAAATAAAACATCTTGTATGTAGGAAGACATTCAAATATCAGCAGTTGCAATATTTCAAGATGGTTAAAAAGGCTGGCAAAGTCCCACAAAGGGAAGGATTCATGCTCAGTCCAGCTAGTAAACATGTTAAAGTGTCTTCATCAAGATACCAATTTTTATCTGCTCATTTATTACAACTCATATTAGCTAAATACCAGTGTAGGAAAGCAAAAAAGAAAGAGAAACAGCACAGCGTAGCAGATAGAAAGATATAAATGTGCTTCCTGCAGTCACTATTCTTGTAGTTAGAAACGTTTCTGCTGTGCTGTGAAAAAACAGTACAAACACACACAGTGTGTGCTGATTTGCAGCCTCACTGGGTGGTACAGCCACGTTGGGTTTGTTCTGTCTAGTGTTTCATCCTGGCTGTTTGATCCTCCATCAAATTAAGAGGTGGATTGTAAAGGGCACATTCCTGGGATAGGTGACCCACTACTCACTGCCCACTAATCCTCTCTGTTAATGTACACATATCATGTCATATATATGTTTACTCCCAAAGTAAGTATTTGGGAAGTTTTTCACAGGAACGCACCGCATGTCACTAAATCACAAATGTTTGTACCAGTGTTTGCATGTCTGTCTCTGTCTGTTCTCCCTGCTTGTCGCTTATCTCTTCATCTACGTGTTATATAACAGTAGTAAACATGCATGCATCCATGGTTAAAGTCTGAGTTGGTTAGCAATATGTATGCTAATACCCATGACCACTGACATTGGTAAATGCCATCTTAGGACAATATCAGTCAACAGGGTTTGATATTGGCAGATACCTGTAGATCAGTGCGTCCCTAGTAATGCATTTAAAACACACACTGGTAAATGTACTCAGTAATCAAAAACCAGAGCATCCATGCTCACCCTCAACCCCTCAACCCCCTCTCCCAAACCCCTCCACTTTGTCTCTAATCTTTGATCTCTTTCTGCATGAAGACATCGTGAAAAAAGAAGGGTTATTGGCATCTAAGTGAAAGGAAATATCAGCTTATCTCGACTGATGAAATGAGTGATCATTTCAGGAATGTCCACTTTTTACTCCCACAGGGATCAAAGTGTGTTTTATTTATTTGTGAATGTCTCCAATGGCCTTTGCTCACTCCTTTTCTCCCCTTTTTGCAGGAGCTAATTGAAGTAGACAGTGACGTTGTCTTCGAATTGGCTTCCTACATTCTCCAAGTAAGCTTGAGTGTGTGTGTGTGTGTGTGTTGTATGTTTGTTTGTGTGTCGGTGTGTGTACCACAAGTTATTCCAGGGGCTGTTCTTTTCTGAAACCGTTTGAAGTTTTCCTCCAAACTATCTCCACAAGCCTTTGATCCTAATTGACGATGATTAAACTCACATTATCTACTGCAGTAATAATTGTGAGCGATTAAACTCTCATTATCTAATGTAGCTATCAATTTGACGTTAATCTGCAGTAACGCTGGGAGGTTTCAAATCCTAAAAACCTCAGTTGACTTTGGTAACACAAATTTTGGTCTACCAGATAAATGGTGGACAGGAATAGCTGTTGTCACAGAGAAGCACTTACGCTCCACAAATCTTCCTCGACTCCAGCCCTTTCCCTTTCCTGTCCCTTTCTCGGAGTAGGTAAGACAATTAACCGTGGTTCGCAAGGTCATGTTACACATAAACTAGGCTGAGTAATGTGGGTGCGTGTTTTCGGCCTCCGTGTGCAGGTGCAGACACACAGTGTCAGGTATCTGCTCCGTAACTCTTCAGAAGTTTCGTTCCAGATGGTCGTTTAATGTTTCTCCTTGATTCCAGCATAAAAAAAACTTAAAAGCACATTTTATGGCCACTGTTTAGTGCTCACATATCCACCTGTATAAATTGTCCTAGCATCTTTGACCTCCTTTTTCCCTTTTTTCTCTTTCACAGGAGGCTAAAGGTGATTTCACTAGGTATGTATACTCATAGTCATCAAAGCTATTATGTCCTTTTAGAGGTTGTTAAAAGCAACAAAGCCACTAAAAACTAAATATGTTAACGGCTAACAAAGTATCTTGACATATTCAAGGACTGGATGTGGTTTATGGTCTGGATGTGGTCCTTTGCTCCCCTCTTGATCACCTATATCTGTGCCTTTAATTTGATTTTCCTCACTTTCTTATTTTTCTCCTACCAGTTTTGAGCCGTTCGGATTTTCTCTTTTCTGCTGGGTTATATTTTCATTTTTGACTTATTAGGGGAAAAAAATACTAATTTATGTGCAAGTTCTATGTGAGCTGAGGACCTCATGTGGCCCTTCTGATATTCATCTGTGTGATGTTGGCTTAAATGTATGTGATTCCTCATCCCTTTATTGTAGCACAAAAAACATACTACTACAGCAATCACCTTTGACCTCATTTCAGCCAGTTAAAGGAGTAAATAAACACAATAGGGATGGAATGTGACACACTCTGGAGACATTACTTCACATTCCTACCCTTTTTCTTCCCACGCATACACATAAATCTTTTTTTCTAAAAGCTCATAGTTCCTGCCCTTTGTACTTCTCATCATAACTTTAGTTTTACGTCTCCTCCTAAAATACAGTTTTAAAACCAAACACCTGATTTCCTTTTTTAAATGCATATCATATTGTTCCCAAAGAATTCAGTAAACTGACAGATTTTCAGTGCGGCTTATGTTAATCTGACTACGTTTCAGTAATCTTAATTGAATCTTAGTAAAACAGCGCTTCATTTCTCTCTGCATTTAACAGTTTAAAGAAAAAGATTGGAACAAAACACTATTTTTTAGGATGTTTTACTGCACAGCTTGCACTTCAGATTGTTATTATGTATCCCAAAGTTGTGCACCCAACCGGTATACTTAATAAATAGCTACATAGTGAGTATCAGTCAATGCAGACGCACAGCTGTGTTCACACATTGAGGAACAGACGGGCCGGGTGGATGGATCTCTGCCAGGGCTTTAGCTCATAGGTTGTCATGTTCCCAGGGCTTTCCCCAATCTTCTGAGGCCTAGGCAGAGGCCGGAGAGAGGCTGGGGAATTAGAGTTGGGTATTAAGACCTCCTGCCGCTGGAGGTCTGAAAACTGAATCTGGGGCCAAGTTACTTTAGCTGTCTGTATGCGTCGCGGTCTCATTTACTCTTTTTCAGTCTTAATCTTTTCCTGTCCCATTCCTGTTTTGTTTTGTTTTTTTGTATCGCCTTTTATCTTTCTTTATTTTATCTTTGTGTCTCTGCTTCTGTCGCTCTTTTCTTTCTTCTGCTTCCAGCTGTCAGTGTCTACTCTCCGCAGCTGTTCAGACAGACCACAGAAGCATTTAGACCATGGACATTTACTCCTGTCTCTTAACCAAATGTCCCTTCTTCCAAAATGTTCTAAAGTTCATTTTAAGACTTGGAGAAAATCATTTTTTTAATATTTAATTTACAACTTTTTTTAAGTTGTCCCCTTTCTACAGTTGATTGATATCTTTCAGGTTTGTGTGAAACTGTTGAGAATAAGTGTCGCTGATCAAGTCTGCTCTTTTTCTTTCACAGTAACGATGCAACTAGGTCTGACCTGAAAAAGCTGCCTGCTCTACCCACCCAGGCCCTAAAGGAGCACCCGTCACTGGCTTACTGGTGAGACACTTTTACCCAGAAAAACCCACCAAACGTTTTATAAGTTCACATGTTGTTTATCGTCTTGCTGATATTTTCCTCTTTTCTCTTTATCCCACCCCCCTACAGTGAAGATCGGGTCATAGAGCATTACAAGAAGCTCAGCGGGCAGAGTAGAGGGCAGGCAATCGTAAAGTAAGTGTGTAAATGTCTTATGTATTCACACAGAGATAAGGTGGTAACGCCTCTAAGAAATCCCCCACATTTTGGCTGGTGTAGTGTCACCCCAGTTTGTGACTCCAGCAAAAGCATTATGTGTTTCACACAACTGCACTGGGGTTTAGTGTGGCATGGCCATGCCAGCTCTACCCTTCATGCAAATGTTGAATCGGCTCTGTGACTACCTCTGCTGAGGGCTTAAAAGCACAATAACAATTCCCCCCAGTTCTGTCTTTGTACAGTACCTTTCACTTAGACGTGTGAGGGGGGAATAAAGACACAACCACTCTGCCTTGAACAGGGGCTTTGTGTGAAGGGGGCTTATGCTTTTAGTTATGTTGGTCCAGCATATTGAAAGCTGTCTTCTCTGTAACCCTTACTTGTCTCTCTTTCTGCTCCTCACAGTTATATGAGCATTGTAGAGTCTCTACCCACATATGGAGTGCATTACTATTCTGTAAAGGTACAGTTTTACTGCTCTGCCGTTTCTTTTTTTTCTCACACATGCACCGCACACCACACACATTTTTTGTTCACTTTGGATCTCTAATCACCCAGTTGGGATTTTTGCACACATGATGGAACTTAAATTTTTACTGTTCCATTCGTGCAGTTTTTTCTACCTCTCTTTAACTTTCCCTTTCGTCTTTCTTTGAGTGTTGCACAGATGCACAGCTGTTCCTGAGTTATTTTTGTTGTGTTACAGGACAAGCAGGGGATCCCATGGTGGTTGGGTCTGAGCTATAAAGGCATCTTTCAGTATGATTACCAGGACAAAGTTAAGCCCAGGAAGGTGAGATAATGCTCTCCCTGATCTATCTACCGCACAAACTAAACCGTTCTTCCTTCACTTTTTAAATTCAGTTTATTTCACCCCAAGCAGAGAATTTATTCAGGGAACATGTTGCTTTATACGGAAAGCTCTCTGTCTTTCTCTATCTTTTTTTACAGTCCCTATTGCCTATTGTTCCATTCAGTCATCAAATGTATTGTGTTTGCAAAGCGCACTAACAATGTTGTATAATTATTGCTATCTGGAGATGTTCAGTCTTAGAATGTTTTGCATCCTGTCCTTAATTTATTTCTGCCTCCTCCCAGTCATTTCACTGTGTGGGTTATCTGCAAAAACAATTCTTACCTCACCTTTGACTTCCAGACTGGTTTCAAGCCTTGATCTCTGCCGTTCACCTTTGTCTCGAAAGATGTTATTTGTGTTAACAGCGTCCTTGCACACTGATTGCCCACTAAGACCCTTACTCATACACAAACAGATGCACACTCTCAGAGACAGGAAATGGACTGAACACTGAACTCACCATCCTGACGAATACTTCCTGTCGCCCAAATGCTTTCCTGTTTGCCACTAAGTGTTTTGAGTGTGTCATAATTAGTGCATTCCAGTCACCAAGCCTGAAATTCTGTCTCATTCAAGTGTGCTAAATCTAGTGGTTTCCTTGGTGTTAGGTAACCATGGTGATGAAAAAAAGGAGTCTGTATATCTCACATCACCAGGTCATTCTGAGAAAGCTCTGGATTGGTTGCAAACCGTGTACTTTTTTTATATAAAGCACGGGCTTAAACTGTAAATTAAAGTTAACTTGTGCAGCATGAATGGACTGGTATTTATATATGAAGTAACCGATTTGACACTACCCATGTGTTTATGGATTTATATTTAGAAGTTCTGAGTTAAGCATTTCGGTTGTTACCACCTTTTTTGGAACATACATTCAGCAGAAACTTCTCAATCACAATGTAGCATTAATTTTATATACATACATATATATATATATATATAGGTTTTGTAGACTAAAAACTAACAATTGAGGCCATAAACTTATCAGGTCTTAAAGTCTTAAGTCTTAAATCAGGAGACTTCCCTTACACACCGTTTAAAAGAATGTAGAATTAAGTGAAGTGAAAACCTTCCATATAGGTTTCCCTTCCCTCCAAATTTTTTTGCTGTAAATTTTTCAGGCAGGTACACAATGGTATATCTTTGTCCGATGTAATTCCCATCAAAAACTAGAAGGGCTTTCTACTAAGACTGATGCTATAACTCGCTTAAAAACCAAGCTGGTTCTTCTTCTATCCAGTATTTTTTCAGCACCTTTGCTGAGGAACAGACAAACAACATGCAAACTATACCTCTGTCTGGACAGAGAAAACAGAAGCAGGGGCCAGTTTTTGAGAAGTGCCAGCTTATCAAGCATTCAGCTGCCATAGCAACAGTCAGTGTGACTCAAGGTCCATTAAGCTTTGGTGCTGACACCCTGACTTTGTTCTCCTTTCATACTCACCCTCCCTTATTTCTTCCATGCATTTGAGAGCAGAGAATGAGTGAGAT